TAATTTGATTATAGATTTGTCAGCCCTCCCATGGTGCTTCCAGCATTAATGGCCCATACCTCTTGCTCTTCCCTCTTATGTCAATCCACTGCTCTGTTATCCTCTGCTCGTTGTATGCATTCTCTGGCTGTTGAAGGAACTCTGCTTTTATTGTTCTTTGTTTTAAATCTTGAAATATGCAACCTTCATCCACTAAGGAGCATCCAGGAAGAAATGTTAAGTACCTTCCCCTCTCTTTGTCTTTAGTGATCCACTTAAGGCTTGAGGTTTCAGTTGTTTGTAGATGCTTTATTAAAAGCCATATTCATAGCCATATTGGGTGGCTGTGGCTGAGGGGTAGAGTGGTCGTCCTCCAACCAGAAGGTCAGCAGCTCAATCACCATCTGCATGTCGAAGTGTCCTTGGGCAAGATGCTGAACCCCAAATAGCCCCTCATAGAGCAAAAAGTGCTGCTAAAAGTCTACTGTATGAATGTGTGTGAATGGCAAACTGTACTGTTAAGCACGTTGAGTGGTCATCAAGACTAGAAAAGCTCTATATAAATACAAACCATTTACCATTCATAGCTGCTTTCTATGATTCCTCAGGTGCAGCAAATTCACTACCAGTTCTGACTCTTTTTGACCCTTTGTATGATCTTACAATATCGCCTTCGACACTTGAATGTTCTCAATCCACCTTAAGCACTCAAAATCTGATAGAGAGAGAAAAGGTTCAACTATTGTCATATAACAAACTAACACGGCTTTCTGTACCCTAATTTCTATAATCTGACATCTCCAATGGCATCCTTGAGTGATACAAGATAAACCCTTGTTCCTGACTGACAATGTCCCTGGCCATAAAAGCCATGGGTCGTTGGTCTTCAAGCGTTGAGTTTGCCTGGGCTTAGACAACATCATCTCAGCTCAAAAGACCATGGGCCTGATCTACTAAGATCCCAAGAGTGCTAAATTGTGTGTGAATTATATCAGATTGCATGTTTAGTTGGTGGGCGTTTTGCGGGTGATCTACTAAAAGTAATTGCATTTATGATAACAGATGCAAACATGGTAGAGGCAGTAGTATTTAAATTGGTGTTTTGCGTGCATTACTGGTTCATGAAAGAGGCAAACAAACATGATGTTGAGCTACAGCAAAGAAATATTAATATAACTCAAAGAAATGCGATATGGGAGAGTATCTTGCTAGAAAGTAAATGCTGTGGGTACAAAAACAACAACTGATGAAATTTAGAGAATATGGCAGGACAAAAAAAAATGCTCATAGTAAAACTTCGGCAAATAAAACAGGTGGGGGTCTTCTTCCAGGCCGTCTCCTCACCACAACAACAACTGCAGCCATCTGGGCACAACTGTGTGCTGATTAGCACATACTTTTCTGTAGTTTGCAGAATGCATGCCTGCATTCTTCAATAATAACTTTAGATGTCTGCAGCATGCTTGCAGCTATGGATATTTCATTTAACAATAGTATCACCTCTTGCAGAATGCACGCCTGCATTATTTAGATTATTTTAGAGGTCTGCAGCATATATTTCACATGAAGCATTGCGTTAGTTCATGCAGGACACAGAGTCATGTGCTCAGTTGTCATAAGCTGTCAGCAACTGGTAGGTTTATGGGTGCTCCTCAGTCACTCACCAATCACAGCCCATTCTCTCAATAATGCTTTAAATAAGAACTCCTCCTTACTTATCCCTGCTCAGCTACACTGCCACCCACGGCCGACTGCTGGTAACTTGCCTCCGCCACCCCAGCCTCCACCTTTTAGTATTGTGGTAAATGGTATTAATCTTGAACAAATGTATCTTGCCTGCTACGCCCACTGAGAGGTTTTGCATTTGTTGCCTGTTTTATCTTAGCATGCAGCTTGGCTAATCCAGGGAACATGCAAACATGGAGCCTTCAGCACCAAGCATAACTGTATTCCCATTTGTGCAATAAATGGGTAAATCATGACAAAGTCTTCCTGACAGAACCTTTGTTAGGCACTGAACTACAGTCTTAAATATTTGTTTTCTGTGTCTGTATCTGGTATGCCCACCATTTGCCTCAGGTTACAAGAACAACGGATTTAAATACTTTATACCACCAAAGGTCATAATAAAGGGTCTGGCTCTGTGTAATTTAGTACTCTGCAATGTGTATCACATACTGTACATGTGTGTGCAGTAATAACTATGCAATGAGCATATAGCATCACAAGAAAATATATCCTTGCATACTTTGAGTGACATCTTGTATATTTCATAGGATATTTCTTGGACTCATACTTTACACAGTAGTAGATACATTATAAGTATAATTATACTAAAATGCGTGATTTTTTTTCCACCAGTAAATTGCTCCTCCCTTTGTGCTATAAAGGTGTGATATTTTGTGTGTATCTATGAATTCTATTGTACCGTAGTGTACATACAGTACTGTGAACAAACTCAAAACTGAAAAGCACTAATAAAGATGAAAGAATAGAGTTGGAGGATGAGCTGCTATCCAGCAAATGGCATCTTTTCTGATGAGAAGCGGAGGTGATTCAGATCCCCAGGAATTATAAGCTGATGAGAGTCTTAGGAACACACATTATGTTATTTCATAAATCAGCAGCAGACATCAGCAGATAGACATACAGCTGCAACATGCACACAAACAAACCTCTGTAAAGTTGCCACGCTTGCTGTAGATGGCAGACAGGAGTCTGTAACATTCAATACAGCTGCCTTCTCTGGATATGATGTCCAAGGTCATCTTCTCTGCTTCTATGGTATGACTGACCATGGCTAAAACCTGAGCCTGGTCAAATGTTTGACACAAGAGAAGTAGCTTTTTCAGAGTTTTTGTTTAAGGGAACACAGATGGATTAGGATTAGGTGTGCTTGTGTGTGTGTGCATGCGTGTGCACATCAATAGTTATGAGGGGCAATTTTTGTTCAATACCATCATGGTGAGGACATTTTTACGTTGGGAGGACATTTTTGGCTGGTCCTCACAAATTCAATGGTCTGTTTGAGGGTTAAGACTTGGTTTTAGGGTTAGGGTTGCAATTAGGTTTAGGTTGTGTTTAGTTGTGATGGTTAAGGTTAGGGTAAGGGGCTAGGGACTGCATTATGTCTATGATTGTCCTCACAACTGTAGAGAGACGTGCATGTGCATGTGTGTGTGTGTGTGTGTGTGTGTGTGTGTTCACCAGAGCCAGCCAAATGTCTGTGTTGTCTGGCTGCACGGCTGCAGCCTCTCTATACACGTGCAGAGCCTCCTCAAATCGGCCTGTGTTGTAGTACAGTGCTCCAAGCGGTGTCAGAATATCCACCTTCCTTGTTATCTGCAGCGCCCTGCAGGCAAAGGGTCAAAAGGTCATGAGGATTGCTTTCTATGGAGGTGGTTTACACCCATGTACAGGTTCATACAAACTGGTATCTGCAGTTGTTGTAGAAAACCTTTCAATGCTTATGCTCTTAGCAACCTTTAAAAAACATCTTATTCGTAGTGTGCATATGATACTGTATATGATAAGCATCTAGAACTGTGCATAGCCTTTAAAAAATGTCTAATAAACAACAGATACATTAAGGATGACAAACACCCACCATACAGGTCAAGCCCATGCAGAACAGATTTCTCTCAGCAAATATACGCCTTCACAAGCGAGTATCATTTGATGCATATATATGTTCAGCATGTAAGAAATGTAATAATTAAAAAAAAATACAATCAGACATTGCCCGGATCTAATGGAGTCGGAAACAGCCTCCGAGTCTAGTAAGGTCTGAAACAGAGGCCCCTCTCAGGCTTATACTTATAATGGTGTCAAAGTTGGACTGACAATCACTACTTTATAGACCATTAGAATTGACCCATGAAACAATCAGGAGGTGGAGAAACCCACCCTGTAAAGTTTTTAACCAAGGTTTAGCAGAAACCGGGGAAGGTAGACTGACAAGATACCTTAGAGTTTGCTAAGACCTCAACCACTGCATGAAATATTACTGGGTAATATTTGGATTTTATGAAGCAAAAACAGCAAAAAGTACGCTATGTAGACAGTTTCTCTAAGGCATTATGATTTAGGTTGGTCAAGCAGGATATTTAAAAATGTATTAAGCAACAACAAAAAAGTTTAAAAAAAGGAAAAAATTTAGAATTTACCAGTGACCAAGAGGAAAGACTACATTATTTTGGGGAAATTAATATTACTAAGTTTCCTATTGCTCCTTACAAAAGTGTTTTGGAGAGTGATGAATACTTAAGGTAATTAATAATTACATTTTGGGTTTAAGTTTAAATAATGGTAAAGAAAAACGTTAAGGATAATCTGGATAATGGAACTGATCTGGGTAGTCCTGACATGAAGTTCATGAGGAGGAACTATGGTGACACAGCACTAAGTCAGATACAAGTGTGGATAAAAGAATGTGGTTTTCTAGCTGGGGGAAGTTTCAGTATTAGGCAGCTAAAACAGCTGAGACAGAAGCTTAAAGAGAAAGAAGAAGGAAGTCAGGCGAGAAAAGTATAACCTACATTTCTTACTGTACTTTTCCTTCTGTCAATAACTGTAATAGTGGTTTTCCCTATCATTTTGAAATTGGGCTGGCTTCTCAGTCAGGTCATTTTGACTCCTTGCTCCCTATTTCAACCCTCTACAGTCCAATTTAACTGCAGGTTGACACTGGATTGTAAATAGTGATCTCTCTGGCTTGCTCTACATGTCAAAATGCCTGTGACTACAAAAACAGCAATTTGCTTTACCCCACAGTATTGATACATTTTGCATCCTTGAATTGATGTATTTGATGTTTTACTGTGGTTGTGCATTCTCTTATGTTGTTATGAATAACAAAAAAAGGGGGGGGGGTTAACTAACTAAGTGTGGTGGGAAACAATTTTAAGTTGAAAAGTAACTTTTGTGACCTGAACTGTTTGTAATGTGAAACCTGTATGACCTTTCTATTAGCTTTATGACCTTTCCATTACTTATTGACTGTCCAAGGAATTATGCTCTTCATCTTCAAAGGAAACGTATGCAAATAGGTTTCCTGTCCTAATTCCTGTTTCAAACTGCGCCTACAGAACCAGTCTCAGGCTCAGATAAACAGCCTTAGTTCTCCTATATAAGTTGCTTGCATTTGACTGTTCTTCTTCAACACTCTACACAGATCCCTGTGACTCTCTGTGTTGACTCTTTCTGCAGAAATCCCCTAAAAAATACACAAAGACAAATTTGGTATTTGGTATTTCTAGCCTCCTTTTAAGGGTCTTGGAAAGGCCTATTGTCAAACCTCATGCTTACTGAAACCTGGTTACATCCAGGTGATAGTGTAGCACTGAATGAAAAATGAACTACTGGTACTTTTGAGTGTCAACCCCAAAAACATTTTGTTCAAATTACCATTTGTTATCTAAAATTCTAAAGAAGACTGTTTAGTCTGATATCATTTCAATCAGGTTTCCGTGAACATTATAGCACTGAAACTGCGCTACTGTGTGACTAATGAATTATAAATTAACTGATGCTGGTGATTTTTCAATTTTAATCATTTTAGATTAGGGTTCAGCATTTGATGCCGTGGATCACTCTATTGTATTGGATCATCTTTAAAAGTGGGTTGGCATTAGGGACATTGCACTAAATCTGACATGTGGTGTCCCTCAAGGCTCCGTACTTGGCCCTTTATTGTTCAGTATATACATACAAGACTGACCAAATGGGTTACTGGCTGATAGGAAAACTTCGTATTGTAAATTACCTGTCCAGGACTTTCATAAATTGCATTGGCTTTTTGCTCTCACGCAGATACTTTGTTTAGCCCAATCCATAAACTATTGTTTTTAACTTACCTTTGATGTGATGGTATAAAGTCTCTCCTGAGTGTTGACCAGTGAGCAATTCGGTGTCTTGCTGTGATGCTGTCTACACTGAGCAGTGAATAAAAACTCATCTGAACCTGTCACATAATTTGGACCTGAAGAAATTTTGATTCCGAAATTTTCTCTTGGATGTGAGGTGAAATTATTCACTAAATAACATGGAGTGTCCATAAGGGACTTTAGTTTGTCATGTACTTTATGCACTGACTGAGTTCCGCCACACTGTTTGTTTCAATCACTACTCAATAAAAACATATTTTTTCCATATCGCACCAAGCAAATAATGGTTTAATGGCCAGTGCCCAAGGAGTTTGATCGTGTGCATTGGGTATTTTGGTGATAAGCTTCGCCTGCCGTATCTGGGAACCGGGAAAGATTGAGATAAACTGTGTGTGTTAGCGGGGGGGATTGACAAAACCAGTCTGACATACTTTCATACTTATATCGTTCCCGATAAGGAGAGTGCACACTATGAAACAGTGTAGTGTAATTTTGGTGACGGCTGAGAGAGATATAGCTCGATTCTAAGAGAGAGAGAGAGAGAACAAAAGGTAAATCTTTAAACAACTTATCTCCCATTCTTAATAAATATGCATGATTTAATTTCAGATTATAAACCTTGGAGAATAATGAAATCATACAGATACAAATTAATCGCTAAAAATAATCCCTAAAATTATATTCACCAATCTCCTTAATTGAAATTATATTGACAAGTGATTGCAAGTGTTTCCATCACAGTGTGGGCTTACTGACAGTCACTGCAAACAGTGTGTCTCAAACTAAATCCCCTTATGGACACTTCATCATGTGATTAGTTGAAATGTTCCACCTCTCATCCAGGATTTTTTATCTTGTGGCCTCAATATTACCTCTGTTGCCACAAATTAGTTAGATGTCTGATGGAAATGAGTTACTTATCTTGTCTGCATGCCATAATAAGGTCAGAGATTATGGTTTGCTATACAAGCTGATTCATGATTTTGTTCCATGCCATCTTCTGGATGCAACTGGTGGCTTGCATGTAAATAATTGAAGAACAGTGGAAACAAACAGTGAAAACTACAGCTGCTCAATGAGCAGAAGGTTGTTTTTTTCATGCTGGAGTTTCCTGTGTCCTCCTCCATTCTCCTGCTGACCTGCTTTCACTTCAGCTCATAAACACCAACACTAACCACAAGTTATTATAACCTGATCAGTGCAAGAAGTTCACTTAGTGTTTGCTTGATTCGCTCCAAAGTTTATGAGGCTGCATTTAAACACCATGAAAAACTTGTCAACATTTTACGGCTAAGTACGTCATGAGACGTGACCCGCACAGCCAGGACTCAGTGTTAAAGTCAGCGGAGGATCCTGATTCAGGATCCTACACCATCTAAACCACTAACTAAAAATACGAGTGTAAATTTGTCATCTAAATCATCCCAATGCAAAACAGAACAGAGTGGTTTATAGGACGGATTTGCACTGGTATTATTTAGTTTGAGGAGCTAAGATTGAATTATTTGGAAAACAGTTATATGTGCGTCACAAAATGCCTGCATATGGTGTCACGCATACTTTAATACTGTTGGCACTTTGAGCACACTAGCGTTGCACTAGAATGCACTAGTGATCTAGTGCGCCAGCACTTTATGTGTATCACATATTAGCATTGGTGTGTTGTTGCTGGTTGGTTACGTTTCAAAAAGAGGGGCGGTCTAACCATTTTTTGCCGTAGAGCATAATGCATGTGCACGCGCAGGTCCTGCTTATCATATTTTCACCTCTTGTACCAAGACTCCGCTGCTTCATTCTCATTGGATGATCTGAGAAGGCGGCCCAGGTTCACCATAGCAACATAGTGTGCTGGTTTGAGTCGAACTGCTTGCAGGTAGTGAGCTGTTGCTTGCGCTCCCTCTCCTGTTGAAGACAGCAAAGAGAGATGAATTGAAGGAGGCCAGAGGTAAGAAATGGAGAAAGGCAGACATAAAAAAGATGAGGGAAGAAGGAAATAAGAAGGATAAAAGAGCAAATGGATGAATGGAAAAGGATGCAGTGAAAACAGATGGAAGGAAAGAGGGAGAAAAAACTATTTATGTGATCATGAGACTTGTGTGGCATTTGGTTCCAACAGAATTAGTTGAGGTGAAGTGATAAGAAGTTTTCAGACATGACCTTAGCGTAAAACGCAGCAGGAGGTTTTTCAAAAAACAAAAAGAAAACAGATATCTCCAGATCAAAAAACAGAGCCATACACGTATGTGGAGGTGAAGGGGCGGAGAGAGCACCTTCACCTGCACCACTGAGGATCAATCAGCACAGGTGAGAGCTGTTAGCTGATTGATCCTCAGA